AATGATACAACTTCAGAACGACTGTTACACACACAAAATCCAGGAAATATTATTTTTTTCTAATTCATTACACATAAAGAATCTTATGAGTAAAAAAAAAAATCTGAAAACATACATCTCTTTCCTTCCCACCCACTCTCATCCACCTTGAAATGAAACTACATTGACATGTTTGCTGTTACTTCGTACCTGAGTTTCTGGTTTGTATTTGTCCACCCATGACTCATTTTCAGATAGATATTCCTTTGAATTTTCTAGACCATAAATCGGTTCTAAGGAAGACAGCTTTCCTTTTTTTCTAGTTGGAAATTTGCTACTTTCTAATGTGGAAGACACATTTTTTCTTCTATGAGTTGAGTTATTCACACCTAATGATGTGGCAGTAATAGTGGAGATGCCTGAATTCTCCAAACAATCATCAAATGATGGGTCTACCCAGTCTGTTACCTGAAAAAAAGAAATCACACAAATATTATAATATTTTATGCATCTATTCCCTATATAACTGGGTTAGTCTGGAAGCAAAATATTCATATCCTTATAATATTTAAAATCATAATCTCAGAAATTAGTTCTTTAAATAAAATTGGCTCTATATGTATTAGATATTTCCCACTTTACAGTAAGTGCAAACACACACTTGTCTACTTAACCAAGCTAATGATGAATACTACATAAATAATGAAAACTTAATTATTTTTATTAGTTGTAATCTTCCCCAAATAAAGAATAGCATACTTTTTTAAAGTACTCTTTAGGGGCCAATGCTGTAATGCAGCAGGTTAAGCCACTGTCTGCAGTGATGGCATCCAATACAGAGGCAGGTTCAAGAACCAGCTAATCCACTTCCGATCCAGTTCCCTGTTAATGTGCCTGGGAAAGCAATGGAAGATGACCAAGTGCTTGGCCCCTGCACTCATGTAAGAGGCCCAGATAAAGCTCCTGGTTTCTGGCTTTGGCTTAGCCCAGCCCTGGCTTTTAACTGCCATTTGTGAAATGAACCAGTGGATGGAAGATCTCCTCTCTCTAGCTCTGACTTTCAAATAAATAAATCTTAAAAACAAAATCAAAGCTCTTGAGACTGACAATTTTTTTTTTTTAAATTATTTATTTGAAAGGCAGAAATACAGAGAGACAAGGCAAGAGAGAGAGAGAGAGAGAGAGAGAGAGAGAATCTTCTACATCTTCTATCCACTGGTTCGCTCCCTATTGGCAGCAATGGCTGGGACTGGGGGACTGGGCCAACTGAAGCCAGGAGCTTCTTTGGGGTCTCCCATGTGGGTGCAGGGGCCTAAACACTTGGACCACCTTCTACTGCTTTCCCAGGCAACAGCAGAGAGCTGGATCTATAGTGGAGCAGCCGAGACTTGAACAGGCACCCATTTGGGATGCTGGCACTGCAGGCGGTGGCTTTACCCGCTATGCCATAGCACCAGTCCCAGAACCATTTCATACATCTAAATACTCCAATCAGCTTTAAGATTCTGTGAAGGGATGGCTGGGAGGGGAAAAAAAGACTTTGTGAAGATTTAAGCTAAGAAGGCTCTAATCTGTAATTATGACTGGGTTATATTTTTCTTCAATGCATGAAGCAACAAGTATTTTAATATGTGAGGCAGGTTTTCCAGGGAAAATGAAATTTTCCATTCAGAAATGCTTAGATAAAAGTACTGGGACAACAGGGCAGAAAAATCAGAGTTATTCTGGTTTGCAGAAGCGACCTCTCTACATCATTTCCTTGCATAATTTCTTTTTCTGCAAAATCCTTTGTAAGTATATATAGAAATACATTGAAATAAGCAGTTCTAATCTAACTACTAAAAAGGTTTTTCTAGTTATTAAGTGTTAAAAGGAATTTTCTCTACACTAACACTGACTTTGGATTTCCTGCCTGGCTAACAAGCAGAATCGAGATTGCATTTTCTGCGGCAGGCATTTAGCCTAGTGGTTAAGATGCCCACATCCCTTATCAGAAAGCCTGGTTCAAGTCCAAGCACCAGCTCGAGATCTGGCTTCCTAAGAGGATGCCGGGAGTCAGCAAGGACAGCTCAAGTAGCTGGTTTCTGTCACCACCTGGGAGACCAGTATTTAGTTTCCACTCCAGGCTGCAACTGTCCCTCCCACCCCACCCCCACGACCAGTGCTGCACGTTTTGGGTTGTAAATCAGCAGACGGAAGTTCTGCCTTTCTAAATCAGAAAAGAAAGATTACGTTTTCCTTCAAAAACACTTGGCACAGTTGGTAGCTATTTTTTTAGACAATGCTCCTCTCTGGGAAAAAAAGAGCCAGAAGTCAGGGTCAAAGTAGGCTCTGAGGAGGCAATTTGGGATTTTTAAGTAGTTTATTTTAAGTATTTTACAAATGCTAAGTCACACTTCACTCTTCAGACAGAGGGATGGAATATTATCAGCAGTGGGTCACTGGGAGAGTTTCACAGTCACGGCTACCTGATTCATTTTCCTCTGATTAAAAGGTCGTTGGTATTATAATCGTGGCACCTCTCCCGTATTCAAGAGTACTCAAAGATAGTAAACCCATTGGTAGCAACTCTGATTTGCCCATTACTTTTCCATTTTATAGTTGTATTTTTTACATAAATGTGAATTCCAATCTACTGGAAAAAAGAATCAGCGAAATTGATAATTTACTTAAGATCAGTGAAAATGAGAGATACTACCAAGGAAAAACAGCTACCATGCAGGTACATTGATGCTGTCTGACCCCACGCCCTCCCACACCCTATCTTTCTGAGAACTGACACGCACTGGGCGACGAAGTACAGCCTGGGGTTCAGCTGAATCACCAACCACCATTCCTGTGTCTCTTTCTTCTATGCTCTTTCATTCGAGAGCTTTTAGCCTTTTCTTTGTGACTGGGCTTGCAAACACTTTTTCAAAATTAAAATTGTGCTTTTAGGTTCAGTTGTTCCAGAACTTATTAACAGACTTGTTTAGATCACTAATTGCAAAAAAATGGGCACCATTATTCTGACAGCAGTCAGTCATTAAGAGCATGTGTAAAAACACCTAATTCATTTAGGCAACTATCACATGGCCATTTTAGTGTGACATACCTTTGTGGAAGACACCTTTGGTCTAAGAAAAGTGTTTGACATCATAAATCTTAATAGTTCCCATGCGTAGTACACAATCTGTAGTACAACAAAGTATAATTCACCTAGAGGAAATACAAAAAACTCACTTCAAGTCAAGAACTGTAAGCACAGTTAAGTCGATATAACCAACAACATAACAACATCAAGGCTCAAGAACTAGTGAAAGCAAGCATGGTAAACAGGAGAAAAATCAGAACGTTACAACAAGTTAGAGGAATCTATCTGATGTTTTTTATGAGAAAACACAGCAACATATTTGGGTGCTGACCTTCTCTCAAAAAGAAAAATCAGGCAATTCTGAGAAGTTTTTAACACCAAAAATTAAACTATTCCTTTACTCCAATCCGTTGCAAGCTATTACATCTTCATTTCTAAAATTTCAAAAAAAGGCAAGATCCAATGAATTCAGACATATCAGTTACTTTGAATAAAACATCTGAATCTCACTGTCAGTTTTTCTAGAACTTCATTTGAGCACGCCATCAGAAAACGTCTTGGCATCACTGTTTTCCGATTTGCGTAATTCGTCAATACTGATGCAAAGCAGTGAATTCAACCATTTTAGGGCCGCCAGGAGGAACGATTTTCAAGGCCAACAAACTGTACCCTGGGAAGGTGTACTGGACTATCTGAGGAGGCACACTTCCACACACTGGCAGTCATTCACCTCTGAGAGTAGACCGCTATCAGCAATGCACAGTAGCAAAAAAAAAAAAAAAAAATCGATTCAATGTAGCCGACAGTCAGCACTGCAGCCGCTCAGTGAAAGCGAGACCGACAATTACCTCCTTGGAAAAGCAGGTAACTGTCAGCGACGATGCCCGTTTCCTGAAATTAGATGTCAGAGGCAGAAGAGACGTTCAGGACCATCCCGAGCCCACCCACCACCACCCCACGCGCTGCACAGCCGGTCCTGAGCTCAGACATTCGTTCAGCGCCATCCTGCAACCAGCCGGCAGCCAGGCTGAGCTCGTCGGTCCCCGCTCCAGGCCGGGGCACCGCAACCCCGTCTCTCTCGTCCCAGGCGGGACGGGAGGGCATGGAGGCAGAGATGGGCTCGCGCGTCCAGGACACACACAGAAAACACGGCCACAACCGCGACGGCCTTACTTTCCGGGAGCCGCATTCCCCTCCCTCGCGGGCGGAGAGGAGCCAAGGAGCGCGGGGCCGGCTCCGGTGTTGGGGTGGCCACCCGACCCTCCCCGGGCTCGGCACCGAGCCTCTCGGGGGTCCCGCCTCCCGGGGTCCTTCCACACCCGTCGGCGCCTCGGCGACGCGGCGCGAAGGGCGGGGGCCCCAGGCGCGCGAGCGACATAGGCATCCAGCGCACTGCCTGACTCAGAGCGCGCAGCGAGCTGGCTCCCGGCCTCCATTCACGCCACGGAAGCGTGTCACAGAAGCCCAGGGAACCGCTGGCGGCGGCTGGGACTGCGGAGCTGGGCCGGGAGCGGGCGCCCGGCACGGCCTCGAGGACCCCGCGGCCGCCGGCGCTGGCGCTGCCCGCCCCTTCCGGCTCCTCCTCGCGGTGCGTAGGGCGCGCGCAGAGGAGGCGCTCGGGGCGTCCGCCGGGACGACTATGCGGCTGCCGAACATTCTGCTCACCGGTCAGGGCGCGCGGCGGGGACGGGACGCGCGGGGGCTCCGGGCGCCGGGCGGGGAGCGCCGGGCTGCAGCGGGCGGCCGGGCGGGGGCCGCGGGGCGCGACGGTGGCCGGGGCCTGCGGACGCGGCGCGGGGCGGGGGCGGGCGCGGGGAAGCCGGCCGGGACCCGGCGCTCCGGTGTGGGCAGGCTCCGTTATCTTTATAATAGAGACCCTGGTGTTCTGCTCGGAAAGCCAGCTTTGGCGTCTCTGGTCGGGTTGCTTTGGGGTTTCCCGGAGGTAACGTGCGGAAGCGTGTCGGCCATGGCGGAGGCCTCGCGTCGTGGGCCTTCGCGGGTGGGCGCGGGTGCTGGCGGCGTGGCGGAGCGCGTGCAGTCACTGCGGCCGTGTGCTGGGGTCGTGTCGAGGCGCCCTGCCTCCCTTTGTGATGGGAACGCACGCTGTGGAGCCCCCGGCTGCTCGTGAGCCCCTGCGGGTCTCGGACACTGACCCGCTGTGGCCAGCGAAGCGGCTAGAACGCTGGGCCTCTAGGCCTGAGACGTGTCCGTTGAGAGCGTCCTGCGCCGTTCGTGGGGGAATCTATGGAGCGTATCGAAGTATTAAGAGATTGTGAAGAGTTGTGTTTTTTTTTTTTGAAGATTTGTTTGTTTGAAAGTTACAGGGAGAGAGAGGGAGGAGACGCAGATCTTGCATCTGCTGCGCTGGTTCACTCCCGGCAGGATCGCAGTGGCGGGGGCTGAGCCAGGCAAAGCCAGGAGCTTCACCCGGGTCTCCTGCACGGGTGGCAGGGGCCCAAGCAGTTGCGCCGTCTGCCACTGCTTTCCCCCGGCCCTGAGCAGGGAGCCGGACTGAAGTGGAGCAGCCAGACACCACGGGCACTCGTACAGGGTGCTGGAGTGGAAGGCAGCGGCTTTGCCCCTACTCCACAGCCCTGAACCCTGAAAAGTTTCTTTTCCTCCAACATTTAACGAAACTTGACATTTTTGGCAGCCCACAAAGACTGTTCCTAGGTGCTGCGCAGTAGCCCCTCAGCTAGTGAGTTTTTAGTCTCTGAGATTCATTATGATGAAGATTTTGCAGCATCTGATTTGCATGGATTAGTGTCCTGATTAATGCTGTAAAAAAAAAAATCTGGTGTGAATATTTTAATGAAAGTTGAGTCCAGGGTTCAGACTTGGTATAATATAGTAGACAGGGGTTAAATGTCCTGCATGTGGAGATTGGATTTATACATGTTAATAATGCTCAGATGTAATCATTAAAGTGTCATTAAACATTGAGAAGCTGAAAATTATGCGTTTGATTATCTTGGAATATAATTCTTTTAGACGTAAAAGGGGAAAGGTATAGAACAATGCATAGTATTACCATTTATGTAAAAGGCAATACAAGTGGCATGTGTTTTCGCACAT